TGTAATGTTATATCCCTTTTCTAATGACCATTGTTCTGGAAGAATTTAAAGTATACTTTAAATGTTTTGAATTATCTGCATCATTTATTCCCTTGCTAGGTAGAATTTGCTGTTAGGTCAGTAGATTGTTTGCCAGTTAACTTAATCCTATTCTAAATGCGATTTACATGTAAGAGAAGAAATGGCCCAGCTGTCATTTTGTCTGCCCTTAAGCCTGCTTCACCAGCGCGGATGCAGCATCCAGCGTGTTACATGTTGTCAGACTGGTAAATCCAACAGCTGTGCTTTTAGTCTGCAGGGTTCTTGGAAAAAGATTTTCAGAACCTGCTTGCCAGAAATATATCTAGAGAAACTTTTTTACCTACTCTGCAGGTTTAAGGAAGAAAAAGTATTTTGGAAGAAAAATGTGTTAAAATGTGTATAATCTGTACTTGCCAACTGTATATTTTCCTTTGGTAGAAGTGATAGTCTGAATTATGCAGAAAATGTTCGTTGTATCTCATGGTCTATCATATAGATTGTATTTTTTTGGCTTCACCTCTTCATTTGTTCACTTCCATTTTGTGTTGGTTCCTTAGTGCAGGAGTAAGATTGCCTAATGAGAATGCAAAGCAAATGCTTGCAGAACTGTGTTTTGAATCACTCAGAGAAGTGAGTGGGAATTTATGAGAATGGAACATCCTGAATAAAAATGTGCAAGTAGGCCCAGAGGAGAATGCTTATACTGAAAGCACAGACTCTGTTGTCCATTTTAGAACATAGTTTGAATACTGGCATGGGGATACTCTGCCGTGTCAGAACTGCAGCAGCTGTCATTGCCATAGTCTGCGAGCAAAACCATCCTCCATTCTGCACTTATTCATCAGCCTCTGACTTTCTTCAGAACAAGTCAGTAACTTAATCTATAATTCATTGCACATTTATTAGCTTATTATAGTAGTAAACAGCTGCTTCTCAGAACAAATATTTGATGAAAGGTAAAAGGCCAGACATGCTCACATTAAAAAAAAAAAAAAAAAAAAAAAAAACAACTTTGAAAAAATGAGCCTTAAGGGAGTGGGGTTGTTCAGATTGTAACTAGCTGAAAAGGTAGCCAGTATTTTCTGGTAAGAATTGTTTCAGAGTTTATGACTCACCATTTTATACATCATAATGAATTTGATTATTTTGCTTCTTGGTGAGCTGCCTTCTGTAGCTGTGTTTGGAACAGAAAATGGATTTCTTGCACTTGGTATTAACGTGAATTATGTATTCTTAAAGTGAGAAAATGCACTGCCACTATGCATTTGTCTGCATGTGGCCTTGAATCTCTGACAGGGCAGAGAGATTTTATTGAAGGTCCCTTAATGCAAATGTCTACCACAGCCTCCTGTCAATTAAACCAGAAGCCTGGGAGCTGGGATGCCTCAGCTGATTGACAAGTGGTTTCTTAACAGCCAGAACCTAGATTTTGCATTTTTAAAAGTGAAAAATAAGCTATCAAGAAATTAAAATTGAAAATCTAAAAAAATATTTATTCTAGATGAAAGGCATATGGATAGACATCTAAAATCTTTGGGTGCTTGCTTAGAAAAGGGACTTTTTGGACAGATTTACTCATTGACTGTGTTATTTCACGGCATTCCCAAAAGAAATGAGACTTGTCTCACTCAAAGTCTAGTTTTATGTCTTCAAAGCTGAAGGCTGTTTTCACCATTAGTCTACAAAGTTTTGCAGCCGATTCAGTCACTTGTGCTTTAAAGAAGCTTTCATCTAGTATGTGTCCATCTAAAGAACTCTTCTGGGGTTCAGTATGGTGCTACTTTTGGCTAATAAGCATTAGCTTTTAGTATGAGAGGTATAAGAGAGCGTGGACTGCTCTTAGTGATGGAAAGCTCAGCCTTCAGTAAATGAAAAGCTTTAATTTGAGGGAATGGCTGGTAATCAGAAGCAGCACCCATCACATTAAGTATGACTTTATGTATCTCTCAGGTCACAAATTCTGAGCTAAATCAGAAAGTGTTTTCTGAAAAATATCCATGTCAGTAATGGCCTAAAATATGCAGAGAAAAAGAGTTTTTAAGGAGTGAGGAAAGCCTAGAGACAAAAGAAATTAAAAGTCATCCATGGAATGAAAGTAATTATTGTCAATTAGTAAATATTTTACGTTGTCTTAATGAACAGCTATACACATACAAATGCATACTTTATGCATATTACATTTTCTAACCACTTTGAAAATGTTTCCAGGCTGAAAGACTGAAGATGGCCCATCTCTGTTGCTGTGGCTAGGAGATGAGTAGTGTGTCTTGTGGGAGATTGTCATTCATCCCCTTGCTTATCTAAAGCTTTCATTTGTACAATTTTATGAACCTAAATTCTGCCTCCTTTACTGCACTGAGTCTTTGGGAAGAAAAACTTTGAACTATTATATTCCTGTAGGTGCAACTCCCTTCCTGTTTCTACTCATAACAATGAATACTTTACATCTCGAAAAACAAACTGAAGAAAGAGCTCTTGGCCATTGCTTTCAGTTGTTTTAAAAATGTTATATTTTTATTTTATGCTAAATCTGCCTTTTGGGTATCTCTCAATATTACAGACAAGTTCTTATAATGTTTTCGTGACATCGCAGGCTCCACTAGCTTTTCCATGACATCTTATATGCAGATACATGTTATTACTGCAGTCAATCTATAAAACTATTGTGTTAAATATGAATCATCTTTCCCCCACTTGCTAAAATTACACGGTGGACTATGTCAAAGTTATTTTTTAAACCGCTAAACATGTTCTTG